TTTTTTGAGGCAGGATCTTGCTCTGTCTCCCAGGCTGGAGTGCAGTGGTGCAATCCCAGCTCACTGCAACCTCTGCCTCCCGGGCTCAAGCAATTCTCCTGCTTCAGCCTCCCAAGTAGCTAGGATTACAGGCACTCGCCACCACGCCTGGCTAATTTTTGTAGTTTTAGTAGAGACGGGGGTCTCACCACATTGGCCAGGCTGGTCTTGAACTCCTGGCCTCAAGTGATCCACCTGCCTCGGCCTCCCAAAGGGCTGGGATGACAGGCATAAGCCACCACACCTGGCCCAGTTAAGCTTTTTAAGAAATCATTTACAAGCAAAGAAAGAAAAAAGAAAACAGAAAGCATCCAGTGTCTAAAGAGGCAATGAAAGATTATCTCTGCCTAAAAGATAATTCTCCAGTAGCAAAGTGGAGAACTTAGCTATAATTACTGCCAATTATCCTTTAATAGCCAGGGCACTTGTTGCTTTCTTATTATCTCACTTCTTCCCCCTTCACTCAAACTTGCTTTCTTCCCTTCACCCCATTTAGAACTTTTGTTCCCTGAAGAGTCATCCGTGTTCAGCATCCTGTTAACTTAGTCATATAATTAAAGTATTCAAACTAAATTACAAATAAAGATTGTGAACCCAGTAAGCAACCAGTTAATGTACAGGTTAGAGTTTGTGTGTGAGTGGTAATGTGAGGAAGGGGAATTGGCTTTGACTCCATGTCTGTTCTTACAACCAGACAAAGGCCCAGGAACAGCCTGAAAGAGCCTCTGAACTGAGGCCACTTGAAGTAAGGAGGCAGCAGTAATTCTGCCATGACAAAATTCACCTGGTTGGAAGAGGGGCATGAAGAAAAGGGTTTTCTAAGGCAGGATCAAATAAGGTATGTGTATATATGTATGTGTATCTGTGTGTGGGTGCATACACACAAAGAAAGGGAGAAAAAAGAAAACGGAAGGCATCCAGTTTCTACAGGAGCAATGAAAGATTGTCTCTGCTTAAAAGATAATTCTCCAGTAGCATGTAGCAGTCACTGTATGTAAGCTCCTACCCACAGGAATAAAAGCCTAAGTATTAACTTAAAGAGCTTCCAGCTACTATTTGGAAATGTTTGAGAGTTATTGATCAGGACCAGGATTATAAGAACTATATAATTGGCCGGGCGCGGTGGCTCAAGCCTGTAATCCCAGCACTTTGGGAGGCCGAGGCGGGTGGATCAC